ACCATTGCTTCTACATTAATAATAAAGATTTAGAAACTATCAAATAGTCTGTTAATTTCTAGATCAATTAATACCCAGATATATATATTGGCAAATCAAATAAACCATTTCACAGTTTTGAACTAATTTGTCTTTAATATTATTAAATTATAATTACAATAACAGCTGATACCCGCGTATAATATCGTCAATACTTAACGATATTTTAATTTACGTACCATTTTGTGAATGTAGAATAGGTACAGTTGTGAATATATATTATTATCATGAATTAGTATCTAAAGTTTTTTATTATTATTTTAATACTAAACTAGCGCCTCTGACCGTATACAATGTTAGTGTTTCATAGTTACGATTCACACTATTTTACTATTTGATCAGTAAATGTTGACGATATGTTAAATAATTTCATATACAGTAGAACCTCTATATATAAGTCGAACATCAAGGGAGACGCCAAAAAATTCGAGTTATAGAGTTTTCAACTTATGGAGGATTTCGACTTAGGCGGATTTTGATTCGACATAAAGAGTTTGAGGTTTATTTTTATAAATTTTGAGTTAGAGAGGTAAAATAAATAAAAATTCAACTTGCAGAGGTGACAAACATATTTTTATTTATTATAAATCAACATTATTTCAAATCATTTTAAAATAAAAAATATGGCATTAATAAAAGTCAGTAATTTTTTTTTGCTTTAGATAATTTGGTTGTTCTCTATCTATAGCATTGTCTAATCTATAAAGAGCAGAAAATTCTTCTTCAGAGTTACTGGTTTGCTCTACAAAATTACGTAAGGTATTCAATGCGGTTCGCGCCTCTTTGATGGAAACCCATGGAGCGCATGTACTATTCACGTCTTCTATGTCATCTAAATCATTAGTATCGGTTTTCTGAGCTACTGAATCGATAATTTCGTCATCAGATAAGTCCCAGCAGTCATAACTCCATCATCGCACGAAACAAAGTCCTCGAAGGACTTTAAGTCGAAAACAAATGACTGGCTTAGCTAAATTTCAAAGGGAATCAAAATTGAACACCTGACACATAGCAAGCAAACACGTGTTTCCATAAGTCATAAATTTATTATTGTATACTCCTAAAATGTTTTTTAAGAAACAATAGTGTACTCACATTGTCGGCAAGTTCTTAAAGTCGGTAACTTATTTTTTTTCGAACAATAGAGATAATAAATTCCAAATGATCAAGTTGTAAAGGTTGTAAAATAAAACGTTCCTATGTTCGAGATACTGAGGTCAAATTTAATTTTTCGAGTTATAGAGTGAAAATATGTACCAAAAATGGCTTGGAGGGACTCGCTGATTATTTCTGATTAACAGAGGGTCAAGATTTCAAGAATGGAGGTGGGGGTTTTGGTGTTTAAAGGGAAGGGAACAAAACATTTTTTCGAGATTTGGAGGTTTTTGACTTATCGAGGTTCGACTTAACGAGGTTCTACTGTAATGATAAATTCTACGATCGGACACATGAACTGAAGAAGTATTGAATTAAGACCACTTTAATAATTAACCAAATAGCAAATAAATTGTTGTGAGCAAAATCGAAATTCATTAAATACAGTCTAGCCTTTATTATTACAGTTTCGATATTTTCCATGCAAATGTCTCGATTGCTGTATAGCGTTTCGTTTAATGTTTATTCGTCGTATACAAGGTGTTTAGAAGTTGCTCCAGCAAAGTCAAAGTTTACATTTCTTAGGTTTAGTTGTCGGTTAAGATATTCCTATATGTAGCTATTTTTAGACAATACCATTGATTTAAGAGAGAAACACTATATTTATAAGAATGTATTACTTGTATAGAAAATTTGATTTGATTTCACCCTGTATATCCTGAGTTAAACGTTATAATTCTTGTTTTTGTTATTCCTTTTCAACTCGCTGATGTTCGTGAATATTTCAAAACTCACTGATATTCGGGGAAATTATTGTTTTAGGAAAATTACATGCCAGTTTCCATGATGTGATTCAGTTCAGTTAAACAGAATACATTATTTGAAAATGCTCACTTCCATTTCCAGTATTTATAATTAACTGGGGTTTTTTTTTTTTTTTTTTTTTTTTTTTTTTTTTTTTTTTTTAAAAAAAAAAAAGGGGGGGGGGGGGAAACAAAAAAAAAAAAAAAAAAAAAAAAAAAAATATTTTTTTTAAAAAAAAAAAAAAAAAAAAAAAAAAAAAAAAAAAAAAAAATTTTAAAAGGGGGGGGGGGGGGGGGGGGGGGGGGGAAAAAAAAAAAAAAAAAAAAGGGGGGGGGGGGGAAAAAAAAGGGGGGGGGGGTTTATTTACAAATTAAAGCTAAATCTAGGTACTTTAGTTTTAATCCCTTCATATCATACATAAATTAAAACTGTTTGCTAAAATCCAATTAACAATATCACTCTCATAATTAATTTTATCAAGTACGCTCATTTGCAAACTCCGATATTGTACGAAAATACAAAAGGGCTATAAAAATTTCAAGCATCGATAAACGTGCCTCTGAATATACACGTATGCAAATATTTCTGTTCATCTGGGACCTAATAACGTTTTATAGACAATTTGTATTAGACATTTTTTTATTTTAATCCAGTTTATTGTTAATAAAGATCTGTCAAACAAGATATAAATGTAATAGCCAGTCTATCCAATTAGGGCAACAGTCAATATTAAAATTTTATAACAAAACTTGTAATTTTATTTGTAAAAATACTTATTTGAAGTTGTTTTACCGTAAATGGCATGAAACAAACACATTTTTGCGTATATCTCAAGAAGGTTGTTGCGGACAAAAAGGCTTATTACTGTAGCAAGGAGCAAGTCGAGGCTGGCAGCCAGATCTTCCTGGAAACGGTCAGCGTGTGAGCAGGTAGCGGAAGGATTTTCGAGCCCCGTTTTCCTCGTTTAGTTTAAGTTATTAATTGTATACACTAGGAGATAAATGGACGCAGCCGTTCCAAATAGACGTTAGTAATAAGTTTGCTTGGCCTTGTAGTATTGCAACTACCACTTATGTTCGACGAATAAACGGAACATCTTATAACTCCTCTTCGAGTTTAATTTCGCGAATACGTTCGTGGTTCAGATCGAGCCATTGAACGCGGTATATAGGCGATTTTCTCTTTTCTTTGTCAGTCTGACATCGTCGATATTTGAGGCTAAGATATGCCTCGCTGTGTTGATCTTTACATTGCACACCTGGGATTCGATCACACCACGTTATAAATGCAAATCACTCGCTCACCCTCTTCTACGCCTAACATCTCTACACTGATAATAATTTTAAATCGATTTGAGCTTATTTTATATATTGTCGTTAACCCTCGTAGCTTTGAGGATTAAATTACTAAAGATAAGTTGACGGTCAAAGATTTTATTAGGAATAGTCGCCACGGGTTGAATCTGCAGGACTTATGCGGGCGAAAACTTTCACTAAGGAACCGCAGAACTTTGACGAAGTTTGTTTCAAACAACGTGACTATCACCAAGTGAAACGTCTTTGTGATGAGCTTGCAAAATGTAAAGATGATTGTTGTAAACTTATAATTGTGTCCAGGTACAGATATTTTAATTAAAACGGTATATATAAAACGGTTAGGTAATATACCGTTTTATATATACCGTATTTAATAAAATGATATAATTTATATATAGAAGAAAAAATAGATATAAGCACGAATACACATGTTTCCGGTGAATTTATGAAGCGGTCTAAAACTTACTATCATTATTTTATATTGTCCTCGTACTTTTTACAAAATTTCTAGCAATAATAAAAACCACTGAAACAATGTTAAAAAATATTCATATTACCATATTGATTGGGAATAGGTTGAGCCATTATTATACGTTTGTGATATTATATATAAAATAATTTTACAGGCTTTTTTCTTAAAGCAGGTACCTACTTAGTTATGCGAAAAGCAATCTTGTTGAATAATTATTTCCACTACAATAAATTAGAGATTACAAATGAACTAGAAATTGTTCGTAAGCATATACTGGAAACTAATTTTGGCAACATGGCTTTTCTATACAACAAAAATGTATCATGATTAAGTTTCTAATCCAATGTTTAGCTTGCCAGTACAGTTGCTTACTCAGCATCTTGATCAAACTTCGCTTATTATATAGACACTTCGTAGAGTATAAAAAGTGACGCCCGAGGCGGGATTAGTGTCAGAGAAAAAATAACCAAGAAATATTGCTACTTCGTATCTTACAAGCTCGATATTTTCCATCATACTTAGCCACGAGTAATCTCCGGTTGATCAAGCCAACTCTGACAGAAGTTATGAAATAACTTATATCCAATATTATTATATCATTATATTGAAGATGAAACTCGTTGAAATGAAAATGTATCTTGATATCAGTAGGATTTATGGGGTGGGTTTCTATGAATCTTTTAGCTATTTTGATTTGATCCTGGGATCATAACTGTGGGCTTAATTGTATTCTAGACATGAATGTATTAACAAATGTAATTGAAAAAACTTAATTGTATTCATGACATCATTTTTTACTCCGTAATAGTAACAGATTTAATATTAACTTCTAGATAGAAGCGTTAGCAGGGAGCGAATGGAGAATGGATAGAGACATTTAAAAAAAGCTGGAGAGCTTTATCCTTGAAGGGTTCTGATCAATGGTGGAATATTTGTTAAGATTGGAAGTAAAAGAGGTTTATTATTATTATTATCGGAGGTCGTAGCCTGTGGATTACCCATTCTCTAACCGCAACAGCATTCTGGTTGGATTTTAAAGCTTAAACATCATAGTCATCCCTGCAAATTTAACTGTTACTCATGACTGAGGAGTTCAGAATAATAACTGCAACGTTCTCAAACCACATACCTATCAGCAATCAATCAATCAAAACATCCGTGATTAGAAAGAGAAAATAAAATTAATATATTTTATTGTTCAATAAATAATTTTAAACGTAATCGTTAGATTTAATTTTAATTAATACTTTTAAATTATAACACAATACATAAATTTAATCTAAATAAATGCCAAAAACGGTAACTTGAATGAACGCAGAGTTCACCTCTCTCTGCCTATCTATGTAGTTGTCTCTCTCATGATCCCAAAGGAAAGAAATAGCATTATTATAGCTCTGGGCTCTCTTTTGTCCGATGGTGACCACTGTGATGATTCTGTATCGATTGAATTGCAAAGACTTCAAATTGCGCATTAGTTCTCCAGCTAAACGTAAAGCTAGTGCTGGAGACTCCTAAAACAGTATAAGGTTAGGTATAATTTAGTTTTTATAAATGTATTATTAAAAACTAAAAGGTATATCTTCTATTCCTTATATGAATCCTTATTATTTATATTATAATAGGAAAACCACTTATAATTGTATAGATTGACGCCATAAAACAAATTCCTTATAATTTAAAATCATTACGACTAAGTTTAGTAAATAATTATAATAAACCTGTGCGTTATATTTATGGTCCGTAAAATGTTCATCAAGCAAGGCGTCGGCTGCATTTTGTACCGTTGGAACATGAAAAGGATAGTTTGGATTCAGCTGGTAAGTCGGTAGGAATAAGAGAGGCGGACGTTTAAACTCGATGGCAAGCTAAAACCATCAATCATAGACTATATTATAATAAATAATTCAATGGCTACAATAATTTTAGGTCTGGGACTCAGATTTCTTTATCGGTTTTATGATCATTTGTCCATCGAATAGGCAAGTAGGTATCCGCGCCACCTGTAGCGCCGTTCTGTGCCTGACACATGCTGTCGTGTTTTTGGGTCTAAGGCAAGGAGGTTTCCTGACGATGATTTCCTTCACCGTTCAAATGAATGTAAAATGCGCACATAGACAGAAAGTTTATTGGTGCACAGCCCGAACCTACGACCTCAGGGATGAGAGTCGCACGCTGAAGCCACTAGGCCAATACTGCTGCACAACTATAATATACCTACTGCAATTCGTAAAAGAATGCTTTGCCGAGTTTTCGTACATTTACAAATGAGGGTTAATATTGAATAGCCAATAAGCTTGTGATAACTCATAAAACGTTGATATTTGACGGCACAAAGACTTTCTTTTTGATTAATAGTTTTAAAGCTACATGTGTTATTTATAGGTTATATTATGTACTTTTAAGCCTTCAGAACTGATCGTACATAAATATGAAAAATTTGAACACCGGGTCCTTAAAAAAGGATCTACCTATAAAATACAACTCTTAATGAATTTGAAGGTAGAAAATTAAATATAATATAGGTATATCAATTGCATTAAATATATATAATCATATAATCCTGAGACTCCTACTGACAGCTTACACTATTACTAAATAAAATACATACATTTGACGTTCTCTCCACAGGCCGTATGCCAGGTACTCCACCAAACCCATAGGACTGACGGCGCACCTTCAGCCTACTCATAGATTTGGGACCTAAGGCCGCCATAGAACGAGTATTCGAGCGACTTTTTACTTCTAGCATTGAGACTTTGCTCTTTTTCAGTTCTGGTTCAGCCATTTTAAATGGTTATTGATTGTATTATTTTTACGTAGATAGTAAATAAGTAATAATCTCAGCTGTTTTCGCAGAATGTGAATATTCTGTCAGAAATGTCAAAAAAACTTGTATACGAGTTAGTTTTAAAGTTTTTATATTGTTTTGAAGAAATATTTAATCCAACTAATTATAGTATAGTAAACTGATTATACATTATAATCTTAGAAGATATTCTAAATATATAAAAGTCTAGGAACTAAAACACGGCGGCGAAGTTACAGTCTATGAATAAAGATAAGATATATAAAATACCGCTCATACCCCAAATCCTTTTAAAACCACGCTTAAAAACCTCAAAGATTTACAATTAGACGTAATGTTGTGAAAGGAATGACAATTTTAGTCATATCTTATCTTATGGATGAACAAAAACTAAGCCAATTCGTATTAAAAACAATTTTGCTTTTAACTGTTATCTATAAAATAAAATAAAATAAAAATAAAATATGTTTATTATGGAACATAAGATACATGTATCACTTATTCCACGTCATTAAATTTGAAGGCATCCCTACTATCGGCAAAGAAGACAGAGGGTGTAGGCCGAGAGAAAAAGCCGGCGTAAAAAACTCTCGGTACTCTTTTAAAACAGCAAATCATCAAACAACACTTATTTAAAACAAATATCGCAAATTGATTAGAAGTAGCCTGTCTAGCACTAGTCCCAGGCCCTTTTATCAACTAGATAATCGTTGACTTTATAGTAAGCCTTTTTACACAGCTTTTCTTTAATACATTTCTTAAATTTATTGAAAGGCAGTGATAAAAGAGCCTCTGGGATTTTATTAAAGAAGAGTATCCCTTTCCCCAAAAAAAATTACTAACTTTAGATAGTCTAGTACGGGGAAATTGAGCTGCGTTTGTTCCGTGTATTAACATTGTGCGTATGTTCTATTCTAGTAAACTTATCACTATTTTTGTATACATACATAATATTTTCATAAATATATTGCGAGGGAAAGGTAAGTATATTAATTTCCTTGAATTTATCTCTAAGAGATTCCCTACATTTTAAATTATAGATTGCACGAATAGCCCTCTTCTGCAGGATGAAAATAGTTTCGACATAGAGCATGACCCCATAATAATAAGCCATAAGTCATTAAGCTATGAAAGTAACTAAAATAAACAAGTCTAGCTGTATCGACATCAGTTAGTGAGCGAATTTTTTTAACCGCGTAGGCTGAGAACTAAGTCTCTTCGCCAATCCGTTAATATGAGGGGACATGAAGTTTTGAATCCATGGTTATTCCGAGAAATACAGTTGTATCATCCAGATTCAATTCCTCACCGTTTATAATTGGTCTAGTATCCATAGCCCTTGCATTTTTTGCACAAAATTTAATGCATTTTTGTCTTTTTGCATTAAGTAGAAGGTTATTCATACTAAAACCAATGGACAATCGAAGAAGAGCATTGTTCACATCGTCAAAATTTGTTATTTGTGTTTGATTTTAAAAATCAAGGACGTGTCATCAGCAAACAAAACTATTGATTTTTCTCTCTACCATGAAAGGTAGATTATTTATATAAACAAGAAAGAGGAAAGGGCCAAGAATTGAGCCCTGTGGTACCCCATATCTACTGCGACCAGAGGACCTCTTACCATTCACTTCAACCTTCTGAGTTCTTCCGTGTAAATAGGAAGTCAGAAGATTCAGTGCGGTATTTTGATGCATAGTGGGGAGTTTGATTAAGGTTGTGTTGGACACAATCAAATGCTTTGGATAAGTCGCAGAAAACACCTAAAGCGTATGCGACTCCTCCCAAGCCTTAACTATATATCTATATAACTCAACACCGGATCGGCTGTCGAGCGACCCTTGGTAAAACCGAACTGATTATTATGTAATAATTTTTTACGTTAAAATGACTTACCAGTTGATTTAATATAATTTTTTCAAATATTTTACTACAAGTAGGTAGTACGGAAATTGGTCTAAAGTTATGGGGTGGACATACTACCTGTTTAAATAAAGGAATAACTTTACTATGTTTATTAGATGGGAAACTGCACTTTTAATACAATTGTTGAAAATTATAGCTAGATGGGGAGCAATTACATCAATTATGCTACTAATTATTTTTACAGAAATACCCCAAAGATCGGTAGTGTTCTTAATATTATGGTTCTAAATATCCTCACTATATTGCAAATGGGTCGGAATGAAAAACTGACCTCCGCATCTACATAATATATCCCTTAACAAAGCCAATGAGAATATTACGCTTATATTATTTTAAAGATAAATACATTATGTTATATAACTTATGCTTCTATAAATTCCTCTGTTTCCAAAGTTAAATAACATTCAAATGTGTTGTTCCATTTGGTTTGGCATAGCGTGGCACATAATTTTAAGATATTGGATATACGAGAGACTCATAAATGTTATATACAAATATATTTACATATGCAAATGTTCAGAGGGAGCTGTTTTATTACAAGCTTTAGTTACATCTGTCTTATACTTCAGTATTGCAGTTTTATAGTTCGTCTTTGAAATATTGGATTTGTATTAGCAAAATACCTGGTACTTAAACTTTTTTATTTTATTTAAAATAATGACTAGGTTAAATAACTTCTAATTATGTATTGGGCTCTCTATACTAAAATACATATAATACAAACGTAAACAAAACGAAATAACGTGTCATTAAAAATACAATAACGAAATACTAACGGACCCTACAAACGGATCATTATTTTTTCAAAAGATGTCATCAGTCTTTTATCATTCCAATAAAGCTCTATATGAACACTGTTCACACTTTGACAAAAGCAGTTTTTGGATGAAAAGGAATCGTACGTTTTTATTGAATACATGGAGACTTCTTTTATCCTCGGAATGGATTCCGGGAGCACTCTGCAACATTCACGCGGAAACGAATTCATAAGAGGATTTGTTTTTTATCGGGAACTAAAAATAAACACGGAATTTTTAGTGGATTTTACTCACGCTGAACGTACAGATAGATGTTTTTAAAAGTTTGTGTCATTGAACACATAAATAAAATCACGGATTTTTTAAACGAAATTTATCAAGTTAATTATATTAAAGTAATTATAATATATGCTTAAAACTGTTTTATACCAATACATATAAATATAACGCTTTGTGTGATATAGAATAATTTTAAAATATGAACAAAGCTCAATTTCTTCACATTTTCATCGATTCATCGTATCACTACTTATTACCAGCAATTCGATTACTTATAAAACTGCAATCAAAGTATATAAGAGATCGGTATGTAAATGAGACCAATGCCAGAAACGATATGAGAGCTTAGAAAGTGGCAGAATGTAATTTTCTATCTGTCTGAGCACTCGAGCTTGATCCCTCTTCTAGAAAACAAAAAAAATACCTAAATGAATTGAGTGAAACAATCAAACATATAGCGAGCGATGACCCTTGGACTGCACAGTGCAAGTTGCATATAGCCTTATTCTCCACTTCGTGATAAGATATAACTTACTAGCGGCTTGTACCGGCTTCCCACGTCTGGGAAGTCACCTAAATATTTTTGCAATCTAACGAGGAAGAGTGAAAAGAGAAGAGTCTAGAGCATTTTGACAGCATTCAGCCTAAGTAGGTGGCTGGTTTATAAAAAAAGTTATGCGTGAGAGTCAAGTCGAATAAGTGTCAAGAGTCAGTCGTGGTCTCTCCAACTTTAGACTATAACCCAGTGAAAAAATAATAGCTTTCAAAAGCTTATGGTAGGGAGACCCAAGAGGGGATTTCGGGATTTACTAAAGCGCGGCAGATTAATATACAGGGGGATAGCTTGTACTCGGTTAGAGTACCTCCACAAAACATGAGGTCCATATATAAGGCCGCCTGTGAAGGAGACAGGATCAGATTAGTAAAAAAAATTGACCATCAGAAATTCCCGAGCGCATCAGATTAAGGTAGGGTGAGTTAATTACATCCTAAAAAGTGTATATTCCACTAATCTGACAATTTGAGAGTGACGGAAAAAAAGGAGGGCAACAAAGTTGTAAAAAAACGTCATCTCGACATTCTCGAGGTAGCTAATTTTTTTTTATTTTGAAGGAAATAATTCAAGAATAATGAAAAATATATAATCTGACGATTTCCGCAAGCCGAAATAACAAAAATTCGTCGATAAAGTTAAATGCGTGCAGCTGCGTGATGCCTACATTTCCTTAAACCGATCGGAATCTACTAAACGGCGTTCTAAATATTTCCCTCAAAATTACATTTCCTGTGAATTTGAACCGATTCGAAACGATAGATTTTGAGAAATTTTGAAAAATCTTAAAAAATTAAGAAATTTTTTTTTAAAGTGGTTTCTTTATCGATCAACTTCAAAAACTAATCCGCCTTTGAGCTTGAAAACCACCCGTTGATCGCCACTAAGCTGGTCAAAAGCGGTTGATTCGTTCGAGAGATATCGTGAACGAAAGAAACCCGAAAAAGTGTTTATTCGGGATTACTCCGAAATTTGTGGTTCGATCAATTAAAATTGCAAAATTACTTATGAGGATGATAAAATGCGTCGAATGCCGCCAACCGCGTGAAAATTGCTTGATCCATTCAAATGTTATTGGGTTTGAAAATTCCAAAAATAGTGTTTATGAAACTTCTATCAGACTTTCGAGCTGGGAGAGCTCAAATGCATAGAAATTTATTTCTTTGAACTCAGCGAGCTCAAAATATCAATTTTAAGCGCCCAGGAATGGAATTAGCGGGAAGTTGAGGGATGGCCCTTTAGGTGAACCGTTTTTCTAAATTTTTTTGTCAGATCAGGCGAATCCCTCTAGATAATCGTCAGATTATGAGACAGTACGTTTAGAACATAAAAGATGAACCACATATATCTTAATCTGACGCGCGCTTGAGTATTTCAAAATTGCGATTTTTTTGCAAATTATGAAAATGGCTGTGGGTTTGCGTCCCATCGAAATCGTCAGATTAGTGAATGAGATTTTTTTG